TGAACTAATTGAAAATGCAAGGATGAAGTTAGGAGGATCGAATCCTTGTTGGTTTTACGCGTACAAGAATTTGTTTTCTTCGTGTTCAGAGATTTTTGCAGCAGAGGAAAAGAGAAGTAGGCTTGCTTGGCTAATTGGCTTCTTAGTGATTGTTTCCAAAGAGATTCCGGGAGGGATCCTTTTCCTTCATGTAACGCGGAAGGTTTCATGGTTGATTGTCTTCGAAAGTTGAACAATGATGATCACAAGACTTATTTGGAATTTTACCTTGAGACCAATTCGATTTGTCATCAGTTACAGTTAAGTTATACTCGAATTATTACATTTATATAAATGGTCTTTATTTGTTCTAATTACATTTTTTTTTGGGCAGGTCTAAGGCTTTTAAGCTTCAAGTTGAAAGTTTGGTGAATGACTTGAAGAATTCAGCATTATCAACAGAAGAAAAACTAGAAACTATTGAAGAAAAATCAGATACTCTGCTCTATAACTCGAATCAAATCCAAGAATCAATAACGTCGATTGATGAACAAACACAAAAGGTGGGAGATAACCTTAAGAACATGCTAGGTGACTTAGGCATTGTCATGAAGCACACTAAGGAGCTTAACGAGCAAGCGAGGGGTATTGCCTTGTCTCAAGTAGAGTTATTAGAAGTACAAGGGCTAATGAAGGAGAAAATGGAAGAAAGTATTGCAAGAGTAGAAGAATCTTATAGTCATCTTAGACAGGACATTGAAGTTTTGCAGAAGAAGGCATCTGAAGTTGAAAAGGAGGTTACTAGTCTTGGAGCGGCGTTGTCTTTAAAGCTGCATAACCTTCAGGGAAAAGCTAATGATATTGCTGATATGGCCGGACTTTCGATAGAGAAGCAGCAGCTACTTCTTGCAAGTCAATCTGAGGCTCTTCAGGGTCTTCAGTCTCTTACTGATTTTCAGTCTAAAGCTCTTCAAGAGAGCAGGTAATTTTTTTTGATTTTTTTGTGAGAAATGGTACGTACTGTACACCGTGTGTAGACTAATTCAACACACACACATATACATAGACAAAAGTAACTTTGTGTACTATAATTTTACCTGATAGCATCAGTGCATCACATATAGAAACACTAGTTATGTCACAAAGTTGCACTCCAAATTGGGTGCATGTGGTCTAACATATGTGAAGCATGTACTGTTTTATCGTGTATAAGCATAGATTTGCCGATTCATACGTCTTGTAAGGTTTATGCTTCCTTGGTAAAATGTTCCTTAAAAAAAGAATTCTGATTTGTTTTTCTTTGCTGAAATTTAAGACTTGTGATGTTCTTGCAGGGCTACTTTACAGCAGATGGTAGGATTTGCACAGGGCCAACACCGAGAACTAAAGGAGCAACAGGAACAATTACTACAGGCTCACAATCTTTTGGCTAGTAATTCAAAATCAATGTTGGAAGCTCAGGTATAGCATACCTCAAAACCTCAATTAAATCTTGAAGAAAAGAAAATTTTAACTTAAACTCATTGACTGAAATAATTTATATGTATGTCTTAAATTTTGTAGGAAACTTTCGAATCAAAACAAGCAAATATGTTTACTGCCATTGATAAGCTCTTTGCCCTACACAATTCCATGTTGCTCGAGTCAAGGCTTATTAAAGCTTTCTTCATCTACTCTCTCCTAATAGTTGTTTTCTACATGTTTACCAGCACAAAGCAGACCTACTCTGTCAGATGCAGTCTCTACCTAGGCATGTATTTCTTACCTGCAGAAAATTAAGTGATTTTTTAAGTAAATATGAAGAAGCTAATTTTACTTGAAACAATATATCACTAATTGTGCAGGGCTATGCACTGCATTTACAATAGAGTGCGGTATACTACAGTTTACATCTATCGAAATTGAAAAGAAAACTCGACTCAGAACAATAGTGAAATCACTTCTTGGCGCTTATGCTGTTATCCAGCTTTTGTATGCATTTGTTACATACAGGTATACAGAAGAAATATTTTTAAACAACAAGCTTAGAGTATTTTCTTTTTGAATTACTACAAATATTTTAGATGACTTTGTAGTTTTACAAACTAAATAATATGGGTTTTTGCAGGGACTATGAAGCATTAAATCACAATATGTTAGCAACTTTGATTGAAAAGGTAAACAACATTCAAAAAGTAAGAGATTATCCTTCAGATGATGAGGAAGTGGATAGTGAAGTTGATTGGATTTCATGGGTGGAGACCGAATTGCCGGAAGATTCAAGCATTCATGAAGATCCAAACTATATGCCACCAGTTGAAGAGGAAAGAAAGTCAGAAAACTCTGTTGTGATTTGTGCTGAACGAAAGTATAACCTCCAAAATCGCAAGCATTTGATATAATAATTTACATGTGTAAAGTAATTGTTGATTTTTTTTTGTTTGTAACAGCAAAGGATGATGAAAATGTTCAATAGATGTAACAACTAACAAAGTAACTAGTTGCTTATGCTTGAGAGATAACAAATAGGTAACATGCTGATAAACTGGTGATTATATTTGTATGTAAACTAACTCATAATTGTTTTTTTTTTTCTTCTTCTTAAACTATGTATGGAACTACATAAGATTATCATAGATAGGTTTTGTAATGTTGCATTTTCATTGTCCATTTTCAATGGAGTCAAAGCTACATCTTCCCTCAACTAAGGTTATACTTTGTAAGTTTGTAGAACATAACACTTGTACATCGGACCAAAGGTCAATTTAAAACAACTTCTCTACTATTGTGATCAATGTTGTTTAATGAAATTGAATGCGTAATTTTTTTTAAAAAAAAACAAATAAACCCATGTAGCATTGTCCAAATCAATTTAAAAAAAGTAAGCATATCAAAAAGCTAGATGCAATTAAATTAGGTGATAGGAATATAATGAAAGGAGAGCCACTCAATCAAATATATGAAAGGTTTACTTTTCATCAATGACTTTCCTCTAATATCAGCACACAAACATAGAATTTTTTTTTTCTTTTTAAAAAAAAATTGCTAAATCAGAAATATACCCTTGAACAAGATGCTTCATAACAAATATGCAAGAAAGCTAAACTAGAGAACAACATGGAGCTATGGTTTGTGATTGCTGTAACAACATGCATTACAGCCTTAATAATCACTTACCTATCCTTAAACCCGAAACTGAAATCGAAAAAATGGCCTCCAGGACCCCAATATGTGCCAATTATTACCATGATTATATGGCTAAGAAGATCATTTGCAGAATCACAAACAGCCCTTAGAACACTTACCTCAAAGTTCGGTCCAATAGTAACACTCTCATCAAATCCTGCACGCCTTGTGATATTCATATTCAATCGCGCTTTGGCCTACCAAGCTCTAGTTCAGAAGGGGGCCTTATTTGCTGATCGACCTGAGCCACTTCTTATTCCTAAGATACTTAGCAGCAACCAGCACACCATCACCTTAGCAGGTTATGGGCCTTTGTGGCGCATCCTTCGTCGCAACCTCACAACTCATATCCTCCACCCTTCAAGAGTCAAGGACTTTTGTTTGGCTCGCAAGTGGGTCCTTGACATCCTCCTTGATCGTCTCAGGGTTAGTGCTGGCTCAGACTCAAGCTCAGGCTCAGATTCAGGTGTGGTGAAAGTGATGGATCACTTTCGGTTTTCTATGTTTCATTTACTTGTAGTCATGTGTTTTGGGGATAAGATGGAAGAATCTCAGATCAAAGAGATTGAAGCTGTACTTCAGGAGCTACTGACTTCCTTGCTTTCTCGCTTTCGAGTACTTAATTTAAGGCAAGCTTGGTTGACAAGGATATTGTTTCGAAAACGCTGGAATGAGTTCTTTAACTTGAAGTATAAACAGGAACAGGTGCTTATCCCTTACATCAGAGCCCGGCAGCAGCAGCAGGAACAGCATCAGGAACAGCATCAGAGTGCCGAAACAGCAGATGATAAAAGCCAAAGTACAACACTAAGTACTTGTTATGTGGATACTTTGCTGAAACTAGAAATCCCATCTAGTAATGAGAACTCTACAGCAGGAACAAGAAGGCTGACAGAAGAAGAATTAGTGTCTCTTTGTTTTGAATTCCTTAATGCAGGAACTGATACAACCTCAACGACTTTGGAATGGATAATGGCAAACCTTGTAAGGCATCCAAACATCCAAGCTAAGCTCTTTGAAGAAATCAGAGGAGTCATAGGAGAAGAAGCAGAGGAAGTTCCGGAAGTTGCACTTTCGAAGATGCCTTATCTCAAGGCTGTAGTATTAGAGGGACTAAGACGGCATCCCCCAGGTCACTTTGTCTTGCCTCATGGGGTGACACAAGTGGGTGGTTACACTATACCCAAAAATGCATCCTTAAACTTTGCTGTTGCTGAGATAGGTAAGGATTCTGAGGTGTGGGATGATCCCTTACAGTTTAAGCCTGAGAGATTCATGGGGATGGTCATGGACCGCGATATAGATCATGAAGAGTTTTATATTACAGGGTTTGGAAGCCGCGAAATAAAGATGATGCCCTTTGGTGCAGGAAGAAGGATTTGTCCTGGCCTCGGATTAGCCCTGCTTCATTTGGAGTACTTTGTAGCTAATCTGATATGGAAATTTGAATGGACTGTTGTAGATGGAAATGAAGTGGATTTATCTGAGAAGCAAGAGTTTACCATTGTAATGAAGAATCCACTTCATGCTCATATTTCTCCAAGAAAATAAATTAATGCAGCCCTTTGTTTACATTGATCTAGAATTTATGATTCAGAGCAACATGGTATTATACTAGTTCAACCTGAACCTACTTGGTTGACATATATAAAGTTGCTGTAAATGTACTCCCTTCGTTTTTTCATTGCAACAGGCGTGTAGGTTAAAAAAGGACTAGAGAAGGTAAACAGATAGATTAAACAAAACAACTTCAACACTGGTAAGAAGGAAAGTATGTAATAATTGAAGTATTATCTAAGACTGACAGTTGCGGACAATCTCTTCTGAAAAATGATGCAGCAGCAAGTTCTATGATCTGAGAGATTAATATGATTTATTTATATTCCATAGACATGTCAATATTCGAATACAAAGACAGCTGAGATAAAGAAAAATTACAATGCTGCAAAACTGCAAAGTTGCAAACTGCAATATATAAATTATAGGTAATAAATGGGGTTCAAGCAAGATCAAAAATAAAAGGAAGGGCTGCTTATTTACTTTTTCCTCGGAGACAAATGGACTTGGAGTGGATGCTTCATCACAGTAGTAAACTCTTGCTTCTCAGATAAATCCACCTCATCACCGTCCACAGCATTCCATTCAAAGTTCCAAACTAAATTGGCCACATAATACTCCAGATGAAGCATAGCCAAGCCGAGTCCTGGGCAAATCCGCCTGCCTGCACCAAAAGGCATCATCTTTATTTCACGACTTCCTGTAATATCAAATTCTTCGCAGCTCCCTTCTGCTGTCAGGAATCTCTCAGGCTTGAATTGCATCGGATCCTCCCAGACCTCAGGATCCAAATTAATATCAGCAACCATAAAATTTATGACTGCGTTTTTAGGTACTGTGTATCCGCCCAACTCTGCATCTTGGGTTACAGTGTGTGGAAGAACAAAGTGACCTGGTGGATGCCTTCGCAGTCCCTCTAACACTATAGCCTTAAGATAAGGCATCTTTGACAGTTCATCTTCTCCAATTTCTGCAGCTTCTTCTCCAACAACTCCTTTGATTTCCTCAAAAAGCTTAGTCTGAATTTTCGGGTATTTGACAAGATTGGCCATAATCCACTGCAAGGCTGTTGAGGTAGTATCAGTTCCGGCATTAAGGAACTCAGAACAAAAGCTCACCAGTTGCTCCTCAGTCAGCTTTCTCTTGCTGTCCCCCTCTGGGACTTCCAGTTTCAACAAGCTATCCACGTAACAAGTGACCAATCTTTTGCTCTGATCATCAGGGATTTTTGCCTCTTCTAACAGACGTTTCCTTGCTCTAATTTTAGGAAATAAAATCTCCTCCTGTTTGTTCCTCATGTTGATAAGCTCATTCCAACGACTGCGGAGCAAAATCCGAGTCACTGAAGGCCATAAATTAAGTACTGCAAAGCGATTGAAGGATGTCAGTAACCGGTACTGAATTTCTTCAATCTCTTTGATCTGGGATTCATCCAACTTATCCCCAAAACACATGAACACAAGCAGGCAGAACATGGCAAAGCGAAAATGATCCATCACATTGACAGCATCAGCATGATCTTGGCCACTGGAAGCCCTGAGACTATTAAGCAGGATTTCAAGAGTCCAACTCCTGGCATGACCAAATTCTTTAGCCTTGGAAGGATGAAGGATCTGAGCAGTAAGATTTCTCCTGAATAGTCTCCAATTCGGACCATAACTAGCTGAACTGACATTATGCTGGTTACTGGTAATAATCTCACTAGTAGGCAGAGGCTTAGGACGATCAGCAAACACAGCCCCATCATGAACCAAGGCCTGGTGAGCCAAAGTACGGCTGGAAATAAAGATGACAGGATATCGACCAATAGGCAGGGAGACAATTGGCCCAAATTTGGAGCAAAGTCTCCTGAGGGCTGCTTCCATATCTGTGGATGATTTCCCTAGCCATTGGATACGACTAATGATGGGAAAACCACGAGGTCCCGGAGGAATATTTGGTTTAGATTTAGACACCACCAAGGAAACCAAAGCCTTAAGCAGAGCTGCAATGCAAGCTGTTACAATGATCAAAAACCATGTCTCCATGTTTGCAGTATGTTCCTCTCTTCAATATCTGTTACAATTTAGAGATGTTTTCATAATTAAAGATTTTTATAGAAGCACAACTAAAGTGTACAGCACAGTAAAAGACACAGATTTTATCAGAGATTATAAAATGAATGTGAATACTGTCAGTGGAATTCTGGCCCAGGAAAAGCATGCAAAGCTAAAGTTCTAGTGAATGAAAATCACTTTTACAAAAATGACTATGCTCAGTCCCCACTTGTAGATAGTCATTCAATTGTATGACTCTTTGCAACAAAAAATAAATAAGTTAAAAATAACAATTCGTAATAATTGAGCTACACTATCCCCAAAAAATTCTAGATGAGGCAAACAAGAGCAACAACCAACACCACCCAAATAAAATACAATAAAAAATATGGGGTTCTCTTTTTATTTAGTGTTATGTGTAGATTTTTGCACCTTAACATTTAAAACACTTTGTAGTAGAGTTTTGTTATCTTCGCTTTGTTCTTATCACTTATATTTCGTATTATGGAGTATTGATTTTCAAAATCTCATTACAATCAAAATAGTTCATTCTAGACTAAAGCAGAACTACTTGGACAAAATTATAAAGATGACAATTACAATACATTTAGACCATACAATATATAAAACATAAAAATTCATACCAAACTAAATTAGACTTTAAAATTCATATCAAAGCCTTCACAGTAATGACGTCGCATCATCCAAGTTGTTAGTTACGGAGCATAAAAAACAATACAATCCGTATTAAACCAGTAATTGAACCATCTAAGAAATAAAATTAACAAGAAGGTACAAGCATATAGATATATTACTCTATTGAATGTGGCGCCTACGTTACGTCAGTGACATCAAAATAAAAATGTACAACTGCTATTTAGGGGTGATAAAAAAAAAAAAGAAAAAAAAAAAAAAAAGAAAGACCCGATCAAGCCAGGCCGATGTTGATCACCTCTACTTCTATCCTACTTTGTTTTCTTTCTTTTATTTTTTTTAAAGCACAACTGCTATCCTACTTCCTGTTCTTAGTTGTACAAAATCACACTTTCCTTAAAAAAAAAAAAAAAAAAAAAAAAGCTTTAAGATTACACTCTCTCACATTCTAAGGGGCACATGCTCTAACTAGTACGGAGTACAAGGTACAACATATAATTTCACCCAGAAAAATAAGGATCAAATAATCAACACAGTATATCTGTACCATATTAGCAAATGAATTTTCAAAGCAAATTTAATTAAAATATATATATATATATTGAGGTAAATAAATAAATATTTAGGATTTAGGGGCCCCAAAGTATCGGATTATAATATTTATTTCATTAATTGGAGTTTGGACCGCCAAATAAGGAAAAGCTCCATAAAAAAATATTCTTGGGTACATTAACACCTACACACTGTGGTACATGGGTAATTGGTATGCCGTACACATGGAATTGATGGAAGATTGGAAGGGAACACTCGAGTATAAAAAATTACTCCGTAATAATTTATCCATCAAATTGCTCAAAAAACCCATAAAATATTCTACTGTAATTAAATACGAAGTAAATTTTAATCCTCAGTCTCCGTAATTAGAAGCTAAGCAGTATTAAATATTAAATACAAAATTTTCACAATAATCCATAATAAGCTCAAATTAAGCAAAATAATCACTTCACAAATTCACAATGAACGAAAAGATCATTCAAATCATAATTAACCAATAATAAATTCAAATTTCAATCACCTCTAAAATCCTTCCAAAAACAATCACCTCAAAAAACAGTCACTATGACACTATCAAACAATTTAATTACATATAATCATAATCAAAACTATCATGAAAGTAATTAATTTAAGATAAAACTTACTAGAAAATTACCAGAAAAATGAAGCTTGAGTAATGAAATTAAGGTTGAGGTGAAAAAGGTTACCTTTAAGTTTGGAGGAATGTAAAACAGAGGCGTGCTGAACAAGCCTTCGCGTAAAGTCACAGAGAAAGAGAAAGATGGAGAAGAATTGTCGTCTGACTTTTTCAAAGTCGATACGAACAAACATAAAGTCAGGTTTTAATTGATTTAAAGGTTTTATATAGGAGTGTGAATAATGCCGGTGGTTTCTTTCTGCCCAAACAAACTCAAATATATCTATCCGGAATTAATAATTATGTTTATCTTCATACCACCACAATAACGTACTATCTTCTTTGGAGTACATACTACCTGTGAATTGTATTATATACAACTTTAGGGTATTATTTATGAGATATAAAAAACTTTAAAATTACTTTAATTTTTTTAATTTAATAGTAAAAGCAATATTGAGTTATTAACTATCAAAATAGTACACGACAAATAATCACTCCATTTTAATTTCTTAGTCCCACATACTATTTTCGGCGTGTTAAAAAAAATCTAACCATATTGGATGTATTCCACTTTTAACTTAGCTTTTATTTTATGTTTTATACATATTAAATTATACAGTATTTGGTTAAATTAATTGATTGTGAATTGATGACATAACTCTAAATAAGTAAATTACTTCCTTATTTATGCAATTATGGCTAATGTTTTCCTAAAAAAAATTAATAATTTTAAATAAGGCAAAACTATTTGTAAATTGTTTTACTCCGTACTTTATTGTTATATTCCAAATATTCTCCTTTTCTTATTTTATGTGATTGATTTCATATGAAATTATCATATTAAGACAGATGGAGTATATTTAATCAAAGTAATGCAATAACAAAAATATTTGAATTATTTTATATGTACAACATAATCCTTAAAAGTTTTAATTTTAAAATATAAAATACGAAGACACAGGTACAAAAATGATGTCAAAAAAAAAAAGATAATACGACAATTAATTTTGGACGGAGTTGTGTAGTTTCTACCACACATCACAGCAAACGTCAGGAAGCCCTTAACTGAAGTCCAAGAAGAAAAATAAATTTAAAAAAATTTAAACCACACAAACAATTGAACAAACTTACTTGCGACAAACGAAAAGGAAGTGGATAATTTTAATTGAATGCAACATTAATTATATTTTAATTATTGTGGTTTAAACGTAATTACTACTGTTTGTTGTCATTATCGCCACAAATATGTCTTTCTTACTGCCCAAGAATGTCAACCTGGGAGGAGCTCAATCCATGCTTATTCCACATTTTAAGTTGGACTATGTATTAAGTCGTGTAAAATTGAAATTAAGTACTACCTCCGTTTCATATTATTTGCAACGATTTGACATAAAGTAGAGAGGAAAAATGTCTAAACGTTGCAAATAATTCAAAACGGAGGTAGTATATGCATTGGAAAAGAAAAGCGGAATGTTTAGATGTTTGTATGAGTAACAATATGCGTAGAAATGACAGAGATCTTGGTTATTACTCCGTATAATTTATAAGTAGCAATCAACTTGTGTGAACCAATCAAATACAGGTTTGCACAAAATCGATGTATAAACTAATCGTTACAGAATAATTATGCTAGCATACAAAAATTCAGTTCCAAACGAGGAGCACCAGCTGAATTCAACTGGGCAATGTGACGCTATCCTTGAGGATATCTCTTCGGTCTTCATCTCCAATCCAGACATAACGTAAGTTACATAACTATATACCGAATAGTGTATACCAAAGTTGGTGTGGAGAAGAGACTTGAAATTTTTTTCACAATCTCGAACAATCAAAGGATTCAGCTTGAATGCTTGAATATATGAATCATTATGTGCTCACATGAAATCATAATCATCATTATCATCGTAGCCAGCAACAGCCAAATCATCATCAGGCTTATCAACAAGAAGCTGCTTTTTCTTTAAGCCTGCAAGACATAAACAAAAGGTTGTTTGCTTTAAGAAAATTAACGGGTATAAAATAGACCTTAACTTAGTAAAATAAACATAGAAGATTACCGATAAAAAGTATAAATCTCATGTAACAACAAATGGAACGCAAGATAATGAACTGAAAATGAGCAACAGATACATTAATGGACATAAGCAACAGATACATTAATGGAAAATGATGGGCGTGGAGAACTGAAGGTGACTGCAGTACTGCACAAAGAGCATCTTGCACTTCAGAAGCAACCCATCAAGATCTAATTCTGGTAGTTAATCTTTGCCTCTTAGTGATGCAAACGTAGGCTAAAAAATTTCTGTACATAAATCTAATCTAAACTAAGGAATAAGCAACACAAAATTGACGAATTTAAAGTGAAAATGATGTAGATTATGAGAGATTCACCAACAAATAAGCATAAGAGAAGGTCAAGGCTAGACCTGGCAAATGGGTCATTCGGGTCGAGTTTGGGTCGGATTACTTTCGGCTCGGGTCATTTCGGGTCAGCTAACATTCGGGTCGGATATGAGTCGGGTCATTTCGGGTTTTGGGTCAACTTCGGGTCAGGAATCGGGTCCAGTTTGGGTCAGGATAATTTTGGGTCGGGTATGTTCGGGTAGGTCAATTTCGGGTCAAGTATGTTCGGATCATATTCAGGTCAAGTTAAATCTGTTCGGGTCATGTTCAGGTTGTTTCATTTGTGAATCAAGCTCAAATCAATAATTTTATAAGCTGTATATATTTTGTTATTGTTATAAGAACACTACCAATTCAGTTTATGAGCTTATCTACGATTAAACATGAACAATTTAAGTTATGTTGGTACAAGACATTTTAAGTTCAATTGTAAGGTAATTTTAATTCAAGACATTTCGGGTATCGGGTTCGTTCGGGTCAATTTCGGGTATCGGGTCTGTTCGGGTCAAACAATTCGGGTCGGGTCAACTTCGGGTGTCGGGTCAGAATCGGGTCAACTCCATTTTCGGGTTGGGTCGGGTCAATTTCGGGTTTCAGGTCAATTTTTTGGGTCATTTTCGGGTCATGGGTTGGGTCATTCGGGTCGGGTCATCGGGTCTGGATCAGGATTGCCAGGTCTAGTCAAGGCCAAGGATGAAAAAAACCTTAGACCAACACCAAAAAATTCACAAGTTTAATTGCTAGCTTCCTCATCTAAACCATACTTGGCAAGTTCAGCATACTTGGCAAGTTCAGTTCTTGCTTCCTCGTCTAAAGTTTAAACCATTCTGGGCAACATAGGCCACGAATGCACGGCTTTTATATAGAACAATACCTGTTTTCTTTTTACCGGCATTGGCATCTTTCTCTGCCTTCAATTTTTCATTTGCAATTGCTGTAACTGAGGCGGCAACTTCCTTTGCATTTGCAGCCTTTAAAGAGGCTGTTGACAGCCTCATTACTGCTTTTAGTAACCCAACATAGTGGTAACTTTTCTGCATTGAGAAAGAGGTCAATTTTAAGTTAGTGATCCATCATAATTGATGAAATAGGAAGATATGAGTGAATAGCTAAACAATACAAGTAAAAAATGGATATGAGAAGAGCACACCTCATACGGACGAAGCTTATGAGAAATCAGTTCAGCATATTCTAAAAAATCACTTTCAGACTTAGGTATGAAACTGTCCAAAGTCTTGCCATCACCTTTTCTAGAAAACAGCTCTGTTGTCGCCTTAAAATTCGCTTCCTCCACTAGCCATACTAGGAGAAGAATCTTGGTTAGGAGCATGAAAATAAGGAAATTCTGTCTCATAGAACTTTACATCACGGGAAACGAAAAACTCATTGCGTTCAAGATCATATAATTTCCACCCTTTCTTACCATGAGGATATCCAACAAAAATACATTTTCGACTCCTACTAGCAAATTTATCTCCCTTAGCTCTTTGGTTGTGAGCATAGCACAAGCATCCAAAGACGCGCAATTCATTATAAGAAGGGGGTACACCAAACAAAATCTCATACGGGGTTTTATAATTTAGAACACTAGAAGGCGTTCTATTAATCAGGTAACCGGCACCTAAAATACATTCACCCCAAAAATCAATAGGCAAATTACCCTGAAATCGCAAGGCCCTCCCCACACTCAAAATATGACGGTGTTTTCTCTCCACCCTACCATTTTGTTGCGATGTCCCTACACAAGATGTTTGAAAAATAATTCCTTTTTCAACAAAATAATCTTTCATACAATTAAATTCTGTGTCATTATCATTTCGAACAAATTTCACTTGTGCATTAAACTGAGTTTCAATCATAGCAAAAAAGGCAGTAAACATCTTACATACTTCCATTTTATCAATTAACAAAATAACCCAGACAGCTCTAGAAAAATCATCCACAAGAGTCAAAAAATAACTTGCACCACAAGAGGAGGGAGTGGTGTACGGCCCCCAAAGATCACAATTGTATCATCTCAAAAATTCTAGAGGCTTTACTATCACTTATAGGAAAGGGGTCTCTTGTTTGTTTTGCCTGATGACATACATTACATGCTTTATCTAAAACAGTACTAGATTTACCCACTACAGGAAGTGACTGCACCACTTTGTCAGAAGGATGTCCCAAACGCTGATGCCACAATTCTGGAGTAGAGTGATCACCCACAACCAAAGCACGAACCTTTGGTACATCACAAAAGTAGTAGAGTCCGTCCCTTCGTTCACCTGCTCCAATCAGCGTCCTACGGTTTGGGTCCTGTATGACGCACAAATTATTGGTGAATTGTACAACACATTTAGTATCATCAGTCAATTGAGTTATTGAAATTAGATTGCAATTTAACTGGGGGACATAGAGAACATTTTGCAAAGTTAATCCATGAGCAAGACGAACTTGGCCTTGCTTTGTTGAGTGAGCTTTCTTCCCATCAGGAAGACCAATAGGACAAGATGTGATTTCCACCACATTACTCAAAAATTTCAGGTTACAGGTAACATGATTTGAGGCCCCTGTGTCTATTATCCAAGAGGTTTCAAGAGACTCACCTATCAAACGCTCATCAGAAATAACCTTAGCGTTACCAACCATATCAAGAAATTGCTGCCATTGTGCTGCTGTCATACCAGGGAGAGAGGTGGTATTCGCGTCACCACTGCTAGATGATGCTCCAAGGCTGCCAGTAGCTACCACCCTCACTTCGGCACCTCCTTTACCCCTACCAGAAGCTCCTGCCATGTGTTGTTGCTGTTGCTGGGAGGAAGCTACATTACCACGACCACGCCCCGACCCCCTGCTAGGTGTACGCGGTCTATCCCCCCACCACGCGGGGTACCCATTTTTAGAAAAACAATTCTTAACATCATGGCCATATCGATCACAATAGGAGCATTTGAAGTCAGACTTGTCTCTACCATTATAGCTATTATTCCCATAGCGAGTCCCATCAGTTCGAACGGCAAAAGTCAAGACATCATCACGTTCAGATGGCACCCGAGAAGAATTGCGAAGCCTTTCCTCTTGAATAAGAGTTTGATAAGCACGATCCAAAGTAGGAAAAGGATATTGAGACAGTAAATTTGACCTTACCAGTTCCTCATTAATTCCATACAAAAATTGATGAAAGCGTTCTTCGTCTAAACGTTTTTGAAGAAGTTTAGGAAAATCACACTTACACCCACCACAGGTGCAGCCACCGCAAGAGCAAGCAAGGATGGGCTCATATGAAGCCAATTCATCCCACAACACCTGTAATTTACCAAAATAATCAACCACACTGGTGGTTTTTGATTGCTAATACGGAAACGATCCCTGAGCAAGTTCCATAGAGGTTCTGCTTCTTCAAAATAAGGAATTGTTTGCTTCACCGAAGGATCAATGGTATTCAAGATCCATTGCACCAACATAGCTTGAACACAACGCCAATCCAAGAGCCTTTCTTTATCAGTTGGTTTTGTAATAGAGCCGTCAATGAACTCAAACTTTCTGCGACCTCGACCATTCCTCATAATTGTTGCCTCGAAATGTAACAGTAGAAATGACATTACCCGGACCATCACCCGATCCAAGATAGTATGGAGAAGAAGTATCAATTTTCGTTGGAAAAATAAAAAAAATGAAGGGAAAAGGTGGAGTGAATTTTGTCGGCTACTCTAGCCTGATACCATGTAGAGAATGGTAATTCCCCCTTAGGGTTGTTATTCCACTCAGCAAAAATATATACAAGGTAAAAATATTGGAGTATGGGCTTTGACTAATTACAATTACAACAAAACAATAAAGCCCATAACTTAACTACTTAGGCCTACAATGTAAAAATACATATTAATCCCAACACCAGTGGAATTGAACAAGCGAAACTAATAATTTCCGACACTAAGCTGCGCAGGAGAAACCCCAACTTCACCGGTTCAAAGAAAGCATTTGTATTCCTTCAAATAAAAAAAAAAAAAAAAAGCATTTGTAAATATAATTATTTTCGCTTTTCCCGCTAATTTTCTTTTTTAGGTGTTACTGTTAAATTTTATTAAGTTGTGTATTTTGAGCACTTTGTTCAGAATTGGTTTCGTGGTGTAGTTGGTTATCACGTCAGTCTAACACACTGAAGGTCCCCAGTTCGAGCCTGGGCGAAGCCATTTTTCCCCTGTTTTTGGTTTTTATTTCAACCGGGTCCGGAAAGACGACTACATGTAAAAAATATGGCCGTTATCAAAAGAAAAATGGTTGGAAACCAGCTCTTATTTGTTCTGAATTCTGATACTTTTCAAGCCGGTGCTTTGGATCAATTGAAGCAAAACGCTACATGTACATTGAATACATGCATTCATTATTTAAATTCCCTTTAAATTATGGTATTAGGGGGTTAGTTAGTATACATGTTATTCTTTAAATTCCCTTTTAACAAGTAGTATAGATATATCAATAATTAATACATGACAATTAACAATCAATATTGCAATTAATCAGAGGTTCTTGTATTTATTAATCCTATATGAACCTGTCAATTATACTCGTAAGAATTATGAAAGAAGTTCTTGTCAAAAAAAAGAAGAAAAAGAATTATGAAAGAAGTTGTTATTTTCTCATTAAACCATTATATATATAATATACAATTGGTAAGGGTTTTGGCTAAGTTAAGCTATACAAGATTACAATCACTCAATCACTAAGAATATGTTCTGATTCACAGAGCTGAACTGAACTGAATTGAAATTAAGATGAAGAAAATAGACCCTAGCTAAGAATAAGGAGGAGATCGATTAAGGCTAAAATATACGAAGTATAATATACTGATTAAAATTTCTAGAATCAAGGTACAAAATATCTACAAAATAATAGAAGATATTTACATTGAGAAGATCAATCCTTAACATCAATCACGGGCATATAGTATACTATAAAACTTATCATTTTCTTAACATAAATTTTACAGTTAGAAAAACACTTATAATGTATTAAATATATCATATTACGGAGTAGTTTTTATAACCCGTATTCATTTAAAAATACACATCAAAATAAATAGAACTATCACAAATTAAGAGTGATGATGAGACCAAGGATAGAGATAATGCACAGAAAAACTCCCTGGTAAGTGGTAATAATTATGGTTTACAACAACTTCTCTAGTAAACTAGCTATTTCTACAAAAAGTGAAATTCTTATTCCCAAACTTAAGCACACTAACTTTTTTAATTAGTAGATGTCAATTCAGTTTATTTTGGCAAATGTAGGATCTTAATTGGCATCTCTTTCATTTTCAGGTGCTTTTCGATCAACTACTTTCATTATCCAAAAATGCCTTGAGGTACATTGGTTTATGTATTTTTGCTTCTTGGGGTGCATGCATTGCATGTACTATATATATATATGACTTTATTTTTTGTTGTACTTTATGTGGCTAGTAGCACACATTCATCTAATGATGAGACCAAAGATAGAGATGCACAAATGAACTCTCTGGTAAGTGGTATTAGGTAATTTGACTCACAAAATCTACGAGTAAGTTTTATTAGGTAGTTTCTGACAAAAAGTGAAATTTTCATTTTTGAGATGATTTCTGATCAACCACTTCCATTACCCGAAAATGCCTTGAGGTACATTGGTTTATGTCTTTTTGCTTCTTGGAGTGCACGCATGTACGGAGTACTATATATATGACTTGTTTGTTTATGCGGCTAGGAGCACACATTCATCTGAGAGTAAGCTGTATCAAGTTAGTGGACACGGAATAGTTGAGGTGCTGTCAATATTTATCGATAGCATGATAGCAAAGCTAATGAAAGTCCTTCCGTTTGTGGCTGGGTTACAATCGACCATGTTCATAAGCTTTGTGTATTTGACCGAGACATGAGTGATCCCGAATTTTGTTCACCTGGTAAGCGCATGCTATCTTTAAGAGGTGGGTGGACTCTCTATTTTGAAATGCATTCTAGAATTAGATTATATCTTAAGGATCCAGTTAAGGATCTTGAAATCAGCAACGGGAGGATCGGCATATGTCCCTTGTTTGAATGGTATGGTAAGCGCATATGTTCAGTGATTGAAGGTGCGCATGGATATGCAGCGGTGCACTACATTATCTTTCGCAATGGATGTACGGCTTTCATAGACATGACCATCTTCATTGATGATCCTATTCGGTCATCTGCCAATGTATATGGGTGTGTTTTTGCTCGGTATGGCAGCCACGATTATTCGAGTGTCTATGACAAGAAATATTATCAAACCAGACTCTTTGACAAACCACAAACTCAGCCAATCGAGCTAACCACAAAGTCATCTAAACTTCGAATTCCTTTGTCAAAATCAGCTTTATCGATGCCTGTAGACGACTCCCTAATAGTAGAAGCAAATTTGTGGGTTGCAAATAATCCAAATCAAGAAGATGTTGCTGTTTGTGGGACCGTAGAGTTTGAAGCTGATAATAAGTACGAGTCTTGCATTGTCCATATAGAAATTCACGGACAAGGCTACCGCATTCAAATATCAATTAAATTTGCTGGCATATGTTCTGGTTTGCCAAATCATGAACCTTATTGACTTAGCTTGTGTTTTGCCGTGATAGATAGATAAGTCATATTCATATTCTATATTATATTTTTTTTGCGATTTGTTTTCTATAACTGGTTATTACTCCGTCCAGTCCTTTAGTTTGGTTTCATTTGAAATTAAGGAAGAGATTAAATAACAATTCACACTTACAATTCGATTATTTCAACATTCTCACTTGACTTTTGTATTCGATTAAGAAATATTAATATCTTTTGTAACACTTTGAGTACTTTTGGGTAATCTTTTATATAAGTGTAGAGTTAATTAACCACATAAAAGAAGGTATAAAGAATGTACAATATGCAACAGTGGTTATATATGTTTTTATTTAATTAAATTGTCATGTATTTGTCGAATTTAAATCATTATGCAAATGTCGTATAACTTTTTCAATATATTATTTCTTTTTTTAAAAAAAAAGTGAAATCTTCTAGAGTTATCATGTAACCCTAATTATCATGTAATCTTCCTCTTAAATATAATTTTGATAGCCATATTCATATACCATCTTGAATTCTCTAAATTGGAACCAAATTAAAAGAAAAGAGAAGATGCTGAAAATAGGCAACAACACAAGCAATTGCATCAAAAGTCTCCTCCAAATCCAAATCCGCCATATTCCACCCTATTCGACTTCAACCTTGAGCGCGAGCACGAGCACGAGCACGATCACGAGGCCGTTCTTGGTTAATTATTTAATTAGTCTAGGGCTTTCCAGGGGAAAAAGCCAATAATCTAGTTTCCACGAAGAAACTTGGTGAGTGTTGGAGTAACAAAAGAAGGAGTAACAAACCCATTATTGAAGCACCCCAATTACAAGTCTGGAGAAATCGAGGTGCGAAAACAGTCGCTGACTTTAATTTCCTCGCAAATGCCGATTCTGTTGTTTCCTACCTTGGATTCAGGGAGTCTCATATTCGAATATTGGTATAGTGTTCGCCTAAAATCTTATCGTTCAAAGTAAACACGACTCTTAAACCAAAGGTGCAGGTATTCCTGAATTATGGTTTCACACTTAATGATATATGTCATCTTTTGGAGGACAACAACTCGTCCATATTATATCTAGGGTTGAATTCATTCATCGTTCCATCACTCCAGTTCTTGAAAGAGTTTATGGGTAATACCGATGATATGATTGAACTTGTACATAGTTTGCTCCTTTGCGATCTTAATCTTCGACTGGTTTGTAAAGTTTTCATGCCCAATGTAAATCTGTTGCGAGATGATTATGGGATCCCGGGAATGGATACTATATCGTCGTGATATGTATTTTGTGGATGTTGAGTCTTTCAAGAATGCTGTAATTATCGTTGATCAAAGCCGTTCAGTGGATTGTCCTATGCTGTCGAGGAATCAAAGATGCTGATATTACTCGACCACGTTTCATTTAATCAGATTTTTTTTATTTTTTTTCACGATATTAGTAATAAGTACCTCTTTTTTCATATATACAATATACATCCCATGTTTGGTTTATTTATAAGAATAAAATTTTCTCATATGTATATCTTATATAGCATTATAGCATCATATTCGATCCAGACCGAATTGCCCGAAGATTTAAGCATTCATCAAGATCCAAACTATATGCCACCACTCACCAGTTAAAGAGGAAAGAAAGTCAGAAAGCTCTGTTGTGAGTTGTGATGAACGAAAGTATAACCTCCGAAATCGCAATCATTTGAAATATGTAAAGTAATTGTTGATTTTTTTTAGTTTGTTTAACAAAGGATGATGAAAATGTGCAATAGATGTAACAACAAACAAAGTAACTAGTTGCTTGCTTATGTTTGAGAGATAAGCAACATGCTGACAAACTGATGATTTATGAATTATGATTATATTTGTATGTATACTGACTCATTATTGTTATTTTCTAAACTTTGGAACTACATAAGATTATTATAAATAGGTTTTTCAATTTCCAATGGAGTCAAAGCTACATCTTCCCTTTACTTTTAGAGTAAACTAGTTGTTGGCCCGCGCGCAACGCGCGCGGTCCCCCAACGGTTGTCTAATTAGTCGTTGTTTATCCTTTAATCTAATTCGCCGTAATTTGATTGTTGGTGGTGCTGTTTTATTAGACTATTTAACACAGATTATCATCGTATAGATGGAGCAGAATCAACGTTTTGCTAATATTGTATTAGAGTTTCGTTTGTTATATTTGTTAATATTGTATTATTGGAGAGTTTATCTTGTTTAGGAGTTCTAGGCAAGTTAGGTATTACAATATTCTTTAGTTTAACACTTACCATGCATTTCTATTGGAAATAACAAGAGTTATACAAACTTTATACATATTTTGCACTTTCTTGATACTCTATTTTTCATGACTTTAAGTATGAGTACGGTTTTATGAAAGAGGTAGTGAGTATGACTACATCAATATTTACAAAGCTTCAAGTTGGTCTTATGTATAAATAATATAAGCATCCTTTTTTAAATTTTTTACTTATATATATATAATAAATAAAAGCATCTCTTTTTATGTAATTGGATATAATTTAATACAGTGATGTCTATCATACTTTAGTTCCATACCATTGAATATTAGTTGTGCACAAATAAGCAAATCTCGAATTCCTTTGTAAAGGAATAAAATGCGATGTGGTTTATAATGACTTGAGTCATAATAAAGCATCTTAAAGTTCGATGAGAATTATCTAATTTTATGCGTTTTCATGTTAATTTGATCCAACTGTTTAAATAGTTACAATATCATAAATAATACATTAATAATAATGGTCACTTGCTCATGCTTTAAGGAATAATTAAAAAGAAATCAAACTTAAACAAATACATACCTACTGACGTATGCAAAGCATACTTTAACTTTATTATAATTAATTAATTAATATACTTTGCATTTGACAATACCTTAAAAAAGGACAATTTTTGGATTAAGGTTCAATCCTAGTATAGGCTATACACAAGTGTCTAGTCTAAATGGGTTAGGTCTGGTATACTCTATGGGCCGTAGGCTCATGGGCTCATTGTATTGATCATCTATGAATTGCAAACTACTGATCGAAATTAAAACCAAAAATAAAAAATCAGAATCAATACTATCTTTACCTCATTTAGTTGTCACTTTAATGTACATATAGTAGTTGAAAAATGTATGATAATTTAATTTTATTGGTGAATGTATCTACCTTGGTTATTTTTTGTAATAGTAGATCCTTTCGAATTTTTCTAGTGAGTAATTGCTTCAAATATTTCGTTTATTGGTGGAATGATCCATAAAAATAGTTTCATATTTATTATGATTTTGAACAATATTAAAAAATAATTTAAAAGTATATTAAATTACATTTATTAAGTAATAGTAATTATATTACATGGTAATATCGTGACTTTACACTATATACTTTAAGATACAATTTTTTCTAATGATATGTAAAACTTTTTTCGCTATTAGCCATCTAACGTGTAAAATTCTCCAATATGAAGTTGGTCAGTTGGTGTTGATCTTCTATTATGGAGTTTTCTCTATCTACGGTTGTAATATTTAGTAATTTGTATTATATGTATTAATGGTTTTTTTTAGAAAAGTCTTGTTTACGTGAATGTTAGCTAATTAATGTGATCTTTTGAAAGCTTACTGCTCTCAATATTGTGTTAGTTATTTGATCATAATTCAAGCAGCTTTAAACAAACATCATAGTAATAAATTTCACCAAAAGCAATGTAATAAATTTCACGAAAAGCAATATACATAAACTAATATATTTTTTATAGATATATTTTAACATGCACATTAATTTAGCAGTACATTAGAATATAGTCCTAGTATGGTGTTTTCCAGGAACATTAACTATTGCTATTGTTCCTGGAAAACTCCTCAAAATATTTCTCTCCACAGCATCTAATTCCTATATACATGAAATTCTGGAGATAAACTGAAGTTTAGTACTACACGATGCTGGAGCTTTTATAAAAAATTTCGGCAACTATCTATTGTCCTTATCATAATATGCTGATCTACTGTCCCAGCGAAAGCGAAGTTCTTATAGTTGCCCATATACTTAAAGTCTAGCAAAAGATTTAATATGCAAAAGATTTTCAAGTAGTGCACCTTAAGTAGATAATCTTCAATACTTCATTAGCAGCATATATAGTTTCTTAGTAGTTCAGGGACTACTTTTCCTTGGTGGCAGATTCAACAGATGGCTTGTTAACCTTTTCAGTCTTCACAATAATTGGTGTGGTTTGCCTGTGCTCAGATCCCAGAGGCTCAGCTACATCTTCAACACGATCCTTTGCCAAAGGTATTGTAGGATTTTGACCTGCAGTGTCCTTCTTTGTAGTCATTCCACCAAAGCAAAGTTTCTTTTTCGCCCCGACTTGTGATAGTGGCACTTGGGATTCGCTTTCTTCACTTTCAAATTCCATAGGACTTTTTCCTAAGGATTTCTTGCGCTTAAGTGATTTAATACTTTGCTGAGGGGTGTCAAGTGTTTCAGTGTAAGGCTCTTCTTGTGTATGCTTGTCAGAATTTTTCTTCAAGTTTGGGGTAGGAATGAACGGTTCAGAATTACCTGACTCAATAGTGTTCTCTGGAACCTTTTCACTTGCATCTTTTTCTTGGCTGAAGTAACCAGCAGATAGTTGCTCAGCTTCTTGGGTGTGAGGATAACTCCAGAACATTGTTCTGACCCAAGTGCCAAGTAGGTCCAACTTTAATATAGAACGGTGTGCTGCTGAGTAAGTCTTGAATGGTCTTGAATGCGTTGTGATCATCCTGCGTTGATTTTGTTATAACAGCAAGCATTAGAATTAACTGAAAGAGCACGTGTAGAATCGTTACTCATATAAAATAAAAATGTAATCTGTATAAGCACTGATTTCATGTAAGTAGATTGCTTTATTGGTCTTACATAATGATTAATCCTAAGTCTAAGCATATTGTTGCCTATAACTCTAATTTTCTGAATGCAAAGTTTTTTTAGTATTCTTTGTAAGGTTAAACTGCACAAATAGGCTGAAAATTTTCTGAATGCAAAGTTTTTTTAACATTCTTTGTAAGGTTAAACTGCACATATAAGCTGGAAAGTAAATAGAAGGTAAGAATATCGTAAATTAATTTACCGATTCTTTAATGGCATAAATTTCAGCTGCAGTTTTCCTGAATAATCTTTCTGTATCATCGTTGAAAGTGGTGAATGCCATAGTTCCTGTGGTGTCGCTAGCTTCAAATTTGAACGAAATTCTGGTACAAATGTAAAGTAAGCATTGTCATCTAGAATATTAATAAATAGTAATGGATATAAAAGGAAACTTGTTTTATACCTCTCAGTGCAGATGCATTCTTTGTTCAAACAAGAAGAGCAAGAATAGCGCTTCTGCATTGGAAGGTTGGTGCGCTTGCAGCAGTTTGAGCAGCTCGTATATGCATTCACTTTTTCTAATTCAGCATCCTGAATAGTCACTTCAATCCATAAAGTTTCTTCTTGCAAGGTGTTACTTGGATACATGTACATTATATTTATGAATATCAGTTAGAATCTGTATACTTGATTATAGTTTAGCATGAACGTCTGAAAACAGGCAGTAATTCCTTAATGTTTACCTTTTTCTGCTTTAGTTCAGCAATGGAAACAATTTTTTTGTTTTCACTTGGGTACCTTACATCTAAGACTCTTGCTTGTCTATCTACTAACCTCTGGTGGAAGAGATTAGCCCTGACACAATGTTAGTTAAAGAGTATATCAGCACACTGTAAAGGCTATTATTTTTGTTAGTTTAGGTTTAGGAAATTACCAATCAGACACCACACGAGCTTCTTCTCCCTCAGGTTCATATATTATTCGAGTGGACATAGCAGAATTCATCGAAAAACCTAATATAACCAAGATGGGATCATTGATTCATCGCAATTAACCATTTACGTAAGTTATAGTAATATCTGTCTTACCACGACGAGTGTATGGTTTAAGAGCCGTGAATCCTATAACCTTGAACGCTTCTGCCCAAGTAGGTAATTTGTCGAAGTAATTTCCTGCCGTAAGGTCATTCCACATTGAGATGGTGAGCGATCGATCGCAGCTGTTACATGAAATGCATATTCTTAGTGATCTTAATTTGTAATTTGTACCAAATTATATATCTGGCATATCCGAACATTTAGTTCTTTGAAAATGAACCTTTGATCAGTGATGACTATTTCTCGCACCCAGCTTTCTCTCTTTCCATCTCTGGCTTCAACTTTCCTCGGCTCCTCTTCTACAAATAACACTACACCTACGACATCTGTGAATTAAGACAACTTTGTTAGCCTTTTAATTATCTAACTTTGGTGCGAGATTGTTTAGTAAGTGCATTATACCGTATTTCTCATCAGGATCTACCGCACGAGGTATACTTGCTATTGGTCGATAGTTGGGCAGAATTGGTCCAAGCTCTGGATGTACTGGCTGAATTACAGTTCTACTACCAAAAGTCATTTGGTAAGGAAACTGATCAAGTTCAGTCCTCCATTTTTCGTCAATGAATTTAATTGGCGCAGCAGAAATGTCATACTCTCCGAGGTACTGTAATGCCTCATCAAAGGCTTCAATTTGATCGCCAAATAAAGTACCGCGCATTCTATTACCCTGTGAAGCAGACATCAGTAATTAAGTTCAATGACCATAACCATTATATTATAGTTATGCATCAAAAATTTTAACTATATATACCTTGTTGTTAGGTAGGGAGAATAAGGCGTCACTGCTCTTTGATTTAAATTGCATACAATATGTGCTTTGCTTAATATAATTGTTGCTCAGACAAAGTTACTTTATCACTGATGTAATTGACTATAAATGATAAGCAGCCATTCAAAACTTTTAACAACATTAAGCTCTGTAGAGTAGCGTTATTAGAAGGTGGTTTTATTCTTATTGTAAAATAAATCTAAAAAGCTAATATTTCACTTGAATTTTTATCATTTAGACATAAGTGGAATTGCATTATAGTGTAATTTATAGTATAATTCAGGTAACTAAATGTTAATCTGAGTATGATTATTGATTACAGCATAACTAAAATTATATTAAAAGCTAAATCACAATATAAAAATAGTAAAGTAATATAATCAGTCAAGCTGTTTTTTATTATTTGTTACTATAATTATTGTACAGCCTACCATATTGCCTGATATGAATTAAACTGCACTCAAACATGATCTAAAAATAGTAGTCTTGTTTATGTGAATGTTAGCTAATCAATGCGATCTTTTGAAGGTTTTCTATTCTCAATATTCTAGTATTTTAGTATGTGAAACCTTTTTACAGTGTAGTTTTTCAATTGCATCATAAATGTAGCAGATTTAGTATGATAGTCACATATAAAGTAATAAATGCATACCTTTTCATCCTTTAGAAGTAAAGTCTGGAATCTGACCGTTTTTTTGGAAGATAGTATGTCCCTTCCTTTTTCAGCAACAACCACCCTTACTATATAAGCCTTGCTTGCTGCATTTAATTGATTCAAGTACACATATTCTGGCTTCTGTCTTGTTGTTTTGTATTTCTGATCTGTGCATGCAAATGGTTCCAGTAATATTCTGGTTAGTAGCAGCTTTTTATGAAATGCATAATTTTTCATCACTTATCTAGCTAATTCTAACTAATCAAGTAACTCACAAGAAATTTCTATAGGAATAAAAATATGCACAAGTAAAATTAAACTAAAATGCAAGGAATGTTGTAAAAGAGAGAACTATACCTTCCATGGTTAATTAAGTTTCTGGTAAGTTTGCTTTGTTGTGTGGAAAAACCAAAAGGCCAAGTAGCAAATCCCTTTATATTACCTAGGACAGAATATAAGAATAGAAAATAGAGCACAGGTATTGTGCTTGGTTTGAGTAATAGTGTTCTGAATAGCCATTGGTTTTTTTAAATCCTTGTCACTGTTTATACTGTTGAGCCCATACTTCTGGAAAAGAAATTTGGGCTGCTCATTGTACTTTTTAATTAGTTTTCAAACATTGGAAAAGGTAAGTCCCTTTATAAACAATATAATAATGGTAGATTTTTTATGTGACAAATCTCAAATTATGACAGCCACAATTCAGTAAAATCTTTTGGAACAATCTTCCTATTTTTAGGGGAATTGCTTTTATACACTGTCATAAGCAAAGCATAACTTTAGGAATTCTGCTAAAAAAATGTACATAAAATTTAAAATACTGAATAGCTTTTAATATTAACTTATTTTCCATGCTTCAAAACATAAGTTATACAATTTACCTTAGTGGGCTAATGTGTACCACATAGGTCTAAAAACCAAGCAGAAGAATAATTTTTGGCCCCAAAATGTAGAGTTTTTTAGCATCTTAACATCCTAAAGTTGAACAAATATCTCCTCATTTCCTAAATACAAGCTTCCTGCAATGTAAAATAAACCAAGCTTTAATTTAAGAATATTTCCAACTTGAATTGTATCCTATACATATAAAAGGCTTTGCAATTCACCCTAGTAAGTTTATCATTATGCACATAGCTTTTAGAGGCTTGGCTCATCAATAAGTTGTTGGCTCATCCTTCTCTTGAAGAGCTTTTTCCTGCAATGTAAAAATGATAAGCTATTAATTTAAGCTGCTTTGGACTGTTAACCTGATTATTGGTGTCAAAAAAAGTGCTGCATAATGAAAAATAAACTCACTTTTCTTGGTTAATGCATAGTTGGTTAGATGACTCCTGCTAACTTTAGGACAGTATAAGATACCACATTTTTAACAGAGTTCTTTGAATGCTGTAAAGAAGGAGCTACTGATATAACCTTCACTTTATCGGCAGATCGTGCCCGTGAAAGAGCCACATACAATTGACCATGTGAAAAACATGAACGGGGAAGATAAACCAACACTTGATCTAAAGTCTGCCCTTGTGACTTGTTAATGGTCATTGCAAAGCTCAGTTTGATGGGAAATTGATTCCTCGGAAATTGGAAAGGATATTTCTGAGAACTTGATGGCCTGAGCTTGATTCTGGGTATAAAAACATGTTCCCCTTGATACTGCCCGACAGAAATCACGCACTCAATTAAATTGGGCAAAAACCTTTTACATATAAGGCGTGTTCCATTACATAGACCCGAATAGGGCAAAAGGTTTCTGAGCAATATTGATGGGCAGTTTTTTTTTAGCACAAGATTGTGAGGACTCATTCCTCCCGGACATAGCTTATTTAGAAATTCTGTAGGATATACGCTGCCACTATCATCTAGAATACTGTCATAGCTTGTATAAGTTATGGCTTCCCCCGGGAATCTTTCAATCATGAAAGAGTTTATATTATCGACATCCTCATTAATAGGTGTCAGAACAGCCCTTTTAGAAAAAATTTGAGGATCTAAAGTGTCTGAACCAAGTTCCGGAAAAGAAGATTCAAGTAATCCAACTATTGGATCATCATCAGGCTGGAAAGTCTGCACTATTTGCGAAGGCAACTCAACAAAATCACTTTCCAAAGTTTGCAATTCACCGTTTCCTAGTGCAAGCAAAAATTGACAAAATGAAGGATCTTCCTTGGCTCTTAGGTTCTCAGTTAACCTGAATCTTCTTAAATGCTGCCATATATAAGAACTCACTACACTTGCTTCAACAGCTTCTCTCTGAGTCTTATTAGGGACAACAGGCAACACTTGTCGGAAATCTCCACCGAAGACAATGACCTTTCCACCAAATATTACATCATTATTGCATATGTCTTGTAACAGAAGGTCTAGAGTCTCTAGATTTTGTTTGTTTGCCATTGATGCTTCATCCCATATTATAAGAGCCGTTTCTTTTATTAATGCTGCTAAACTACTTTGCTTAGAAACGCTGCAGGCTAATGAAGCATCACTATCCATTGGAATCTTGAATCTTGAGTGTGCCGTTCTACCAGACGGGATATTTGTTGCGGCTATTCCTGATGTAGCTGTTAGCAAAACAATCTTATTCATAAGGCGGATCTCAGCATAAAGTGCATTGTATAAGAATGTTTTGCCAGTCCCACCAGGACCATCTACAAAAAATGCCCCTGGTTTTCCTTCCACTATATGCTGCATGATACATGTAAATATTTCCTTTTGTGCTGGATTTAGCAAGCTTCGGCTGTCTATACAAGCCTGAGGAATCGGAGCATCTAGTGCATCTTGAATGTCTTTTGTTCTATCAATTTCAGTATCATTGTTATCCATTAAAACAGCTAGACCACAGCCACATAATGACTTCCCCATAGCCTCTAAATGTTGTTCCACTGATCTTACAGTTAGTTTCTTAATTTTGCTTTCTGCACCAGAGTACTTTTGTGCAAAATCTTCTGACAATGCAGGATAATATTTGCGCCATAGTTCTGCCGGATCACTCGGCTGGCAAAATATAAGAACAGTTGCAAACAATCGGCGCAGAGCCCCGGGGAGCTGAATTTCAGTTGCTTCAGCCAAACAAATGCTTGCAGCATCATCTTCTTCCAAAATGCCAGCTTTAAGACATGCTTCCTTGAAAGTTGCACATACATAACCTTGAACTGTGCGTAAGTCTGTAAAAGATTTTGGACTTCTGACATTCAGTAATAGTAGTCGAAGGTAAAAGCGTTCACCTTCAGAAGGAGCCACAAAAGCTAAACGGCCAACCATCGAGTTTTTATTTTGTCGGTTGGACCATTTTTTGCTGAAGCATCCCACTTATAGTGTTCTGGAAATTCTCCATATAAGTAACCAAGACCATTATCATTAGCTGCATTCATACAAAAGAACTCTGTTAATTGAGTCTTTGCATAAACACCACTTGCAATACCTATATCAAGACGTTCATACGGGCGTACACAGACAGTATTCATGTCTGGAATATGAACAGACAGAGGTAAGACTGGTGGATGCATCTTAAATAAATCAAACCCGAAAATTCTCCAAGCCGCTTCACACGGTGACACCCACCTTCCTGACTGAAACTGAGCAATTTCATCTCCTGAATTTCTATCTTCTGCCGAAATATTGAAGGCCACTCGATCATGTCCTTTGTAAACATATTTATATAAATATTTCACTGCTTTTATAGTCGAACAAACCTCTACATTTAAATGACAATCAAAGAGTGCTGCGAGATAAGGGTTATAAGGTACAACCCATCGATTATCTAACTCGGCATTTCTGACCTTCACTTGTTCTCCAGTATCACTTCTCTTATAACAAGGATAACCATCTTTATTTGTCGTTGTTTGTGCGGTGAATTGTTTTGGATATCCATTTTTACAAGAAAAGACATTATCCTTCTTTCTCATACAAGGGCACTCTGGATTTAATTGGCCACATGGTCCATGCATCATATGCCTTAATACAATCTTACGCAGTTCAGGCTGAGTAACAGGAGGTATCTCTGCACAAACATACCTATCATAATCAGCAGGAGATTTCATCTTATGCTGCTGTTCTAGAATCAACAAGAAATGAGCATGCGGCAATCCTCTTTTCTGAAATTCTACAACATATATCATCGCTGCCACTTTTCCAAATACCATGTCTTTCTTGATTTTTTGTTTCAGAGCAATCAACTTCGCCCGAAATATACGAGCAACTAAATCAGGTCGGTCTTGGGCAGTCTCACCGGGCTCTAGTTCGGCTTTTATCTCTGGCCAATTTGCATTGCATGTCATAGTGACGAAGAGATCTGGCTTCCCGTATTTCTGCACAAGAGCCATTGCATTCAGATATCTCCTTTTCATATCACGAGGGCCTCCTATAAATGATGGTGGTAAAATGAATTTATGACCAACATTAGCTGCACTTGTCTGTCCACTCTCTACTGTGTCAAGAATACCCTTATAAAGATCTGCTCTTATTGTATCTTGATTTTGCCGGAAAAAATCTAACCTTGTATTTTCAACCTTGATATACATATCTGTGATGTATTGCAGAAATGCACGGCCTGCTCTTAAGAGCATGTTTCCTGGTCTAATTTGAAGCTTATAAGCATAGTACTCCCTTGCAGAGATATTCTTATCAGCTTTCGTATGTCTTCCGGAAGCTCCTATACACATTAAAATCAAAAAAAAATTCAAACTAAGCATATTTTAAGGGAACATAGGCGAAGAAGCAATTAACCAAAAAATCCCATAGTTTTGATAGGAACTTACGAGCAGCTTCTGCATCCAGAAAATCTGCCGGAGTGTTCACTGCACATGATTGAATAGGATCAGGTTCTGCTGCCACTTGCCTATCTCCACCATAAGAAGTTTTTTTTAGACCCTGATGCCAACCACATTCACCTCTTGGAAATAGCAGGGGATACTGTAAAGGGTCATAGCACCCATAAAAATGGGCAATCCGATGGGATTTCGCAGATTTTGCTGTCACAAGAACATGTGGCCATGAACTCTGACTTGATGAAACACTATCAGGCCAGATAACCGCAACTTCATCTGAAGTGGGAGCATTATACACCCTTTGATCTGGCACAGTGTTTGAATTTATTATAATGTTAGTACTTTCATCGACATTTACTTCTCTCAAAGATCTGAAAAATCTTGCATATGGATTATCTTTAGTTATTTGCATTAATTTGTCAATAACATCCTGTCTTAATTCAGGAAAGCAATTTGTTCTGTGTTTCAATTCATTTTGGCCATCATAGAAATAAAGCTGTAGATACTTTGGACCATTCTCATCTGGTATTAAGTCTGGTACAGAATGATATATTTGGCCATGTAATTTAAAGACATATATACCTTTGTATGTTTCTCTGTCAGTTTTACCTCCAATTGAACTAAAGGCAAATAGGTTATTGTATAATCGAGCATACTTTCTAAAATGCACATCATCTTCATCTCTTGAAGTAAAAAGTCTCACTAATTCAGGGGGATATTCATTCGCAACTATTTTAATATCACCATTGCCACAGCAGAAATGCAGGGTTTCAAACGCAAACTTTTTAGCCCCGCACTCAGCACAGTAGGTAGGCGGAGATAATTCTAAGGGTTGCGTAGGTAATGGTCTTCCTAAAGTGGCCGCAGGGGCTTCTGTAATAGTATAAAAGGATATCTAAGATAATTGTATTGTGCAACAGCATATAAGTGTTAACTCTATTAACTGAAATCTCTACCAAGGCTTACTTTTAGCAGCATCCCTTAGCTGCTTTGAACTCTGTGCATTTGATGGTGTAACTCTAAGAGACACGGGTCTTTCTGTAGAGGTACGAAGAGAAAATTACACCAGTTCCGATTAAATAGCACTACATATATATTCACTTTATAAACCTAAACCAAGGAAAAATACCCACTTTCAAGTACAGTATATTTTGAAGGTCTTGATTTTGCCTTTTTGGACTTTGACTGTTCTGCTTGACTGTGCAAAGCATAAAGAGTTTATGAATTTGCTTCACAAAAAATAAAATCCATTATTATAAGTCATGTACTTTACCTAGAAGAATTATGATTTGATATCAAATCACTTATTCGCTTTGATTTCCGCCCTCTACTTGATGGTCTCTTAAAGTTAACAGGTGCATCAGCTATCATATACATATTAAAAGCAATAACTCATCATTTTAAACATTAAACAAACATCGTAAATGAGTATAGCAATGAGCATATATAAAAAAATCCTTCCTAAACATCATGTCAATTTTCAGACATACCCATATTACTTTGGTGCAGATCAAGCTATCTCAACAATGCGCACAGGATATTGATGATTCCTGTTTATGTCATTTACTGTAAAAAGAAAACATATTAAATTCTCCGAAGCTGCAGTTCAGAAGATGTTTTTTGGTCTGTAAAATGAGAGGCTCTGCAAATTAAATCCACAAAAATTCTATCAACTTGATACATTAACCTGCACATTTCTCTCAATGATTCTAAGTAGATGTTTACCTGTTCAATATTTGTTCTGCTTAAAATTCTGTGAATTTGACACTGATCTCAGGTTCTAATTGCTGTACAGTAATTCCTGAATTTGACACTGATCTCAGGTTCTAATTGCAATACCCCCCTATTTTCAATGCCACAAAACAAAACAAAATGAATTCTACTAATCCACTACATTGCTTTGTATCTTATTAATGGTATCTGCATATCACTAACAATATTTGCATCAATTTCCTTTTAATTAATAAATTCTCTCTATCTCTCCTACATTACATGAGCCCTCTTTATTTTTTCTCTCTATCTCTCTGTACTCCAAAAATTGCCTAGTAGTCCTTCATTTTTAAAGTGATGCATCTAAAAATAACGGAGGAGGTTTAACCAATTTATTTACTCTATGGATGTTCAAAGGTTCTCTTCATCTACTCTAAAAAATCCCTCTTCAATCCCCAAAACAAAAGATGCTAAATGCAAATATATGCTAGGTTAGCAAAGAAGTCATATGAACCAATAATTAGACTCATTACACTTACAAATTATCCAGTATGTAATTAAACAGATAAAAAGATGACAAGGTAAAACAAAAGCTAATAATTCACCAATTTATCAGAATGCCGTATTTATGATGTAATAGACAAGGACCCACTTATTGAATTACCACCAGATTTCCAATTAGTCCGCCAGCAATCTCATAAAATTTGGCATCTGAAAACCCAACCGCAAGAGCAAGCTGCGCCAATCCTTTCCTACATTAACAAAACTTTATGGACTGAATGAACTATCTGACATTTTAAAACTTTCAGATTATAATCTAGTCAATCCTTATTTCTTCATTCTTAACAAACACAAAAAACAATAATAGAAGCATTACACAAAAACAAAAACCTTATACGACAACTTCAGATAGATTTTAAAACTATAGAGGATGCCTACATGACAAATGTCTGGTGCATAAACTCAGGCTATTAGGCAAATGTAATGTGCTGAACATACATAACATCAAACACAAAAGAGTATTATTAAATTAAGAAGCCATGCAATAAACAGTAAAATTATAAAATATTCTTGAACCAACATGCAAATCAAAAGTGCATCCATTAATTACTCAAAATACACATTACATTAGATTTCAGTTACAGCATACAAGTCTATTTTCTAATGAAATATTTCAACAATCACTACTCTTAGACTTAAGTTTTAAAACAAAAGGAAAGATAGAAATCTAGATAATATGAGGCATATGTGAATACTAAACCTAAACACCTTTAATCAGGCAAACATCTTGCTACCCAAAATACTAAACTAAGACTCCAAATAACCTAAGCAAACTTTGTGCGCTTCCAAACAGTCTCTAGTTCAGGTATGCCAGAAACTAAAGGCTCGGAAACTCTAATGGTAGAAGAAGATGCAGCATCTAATGGCGTAGCAGAACGTCTTTTCATTGGAGCTGGTGGAGGCACACCAACCTTAGGTATCTGAAACCTTTCAGAAGTAGGAGTCAAGCATTCATCACCAGCAAAGTTTTCTTCTCTGGCAGCCAAGTGTTCCTTTAACTGGTAAAACCTACTCTTAAAAGCATTACAAGCAACACTCTTCTCCAAAGCTGCACCATAATTAGCATCAATGATCTCTAAGCTATACTTAGTCACCAGGTAATGAATAGCTCTTTTAGCAGCCTTTTGCTTTGCACCAGTTACCTCAGGACAAGGATCACTATATATGCATTCCATTTCAGCTCCATTATGTGGGCAAGACACTGTTAGCCAAGACACAAAACCCAAATCTTCAACCCAAATAGTCTCTAATGGACTCACCTCTGCTCCAGTCCTTGTAACAACAGCTCCTAAAAAGCTCACAAAATCAATTGTCACATGGATAACTTCATTAGATGGTTTTTTTCCCAAATTCTTTTGAGCAGTAGGCATCTCTATTCCTTTCTCACGACATAACTCAACAACCTTATGCTTAAAAAGCTTATTGCATAGCTGATACATCCTTGCTCTATCGGATGTAAAATCACTCACCTGCACCCCAAACTAGCTCATCAATTTTTGCACAGCTTTTTGAGCAGCCCTTTCTTGCGACTCCTGAACTGTATTAGCCTCCCCACCGAAAAATACAAATTCAGACTTGCCACATTCAGTTCTAATACGAACGCAGGCATTGTTCCTATCCTTATCTATAAAACCATAAATTGGTTTAGGAAAATTTAAACAGTCAACCAATTGACCTAAAAGAGGTCGAAATGGAATGGCAATTTTGCTTAACTGAATAGCCATAACCTGTAACCGGCAAAAATTAAAATTAAAGAAACATACAGATCCACTAAATCAAAACTACAATCAAATTACAGCCAAAGTCAACATATCTAAGAAAACTAAGTGACCTTGTAAAATCTTAATTTAAAAGATCTCAACAAACTTACCAACAATAGCAGCAAGCAATTTTAACAACACCGCTCCAACTGCACAGACCTACAATAATTATGTTTTTTTTTTCAATTAATTTTTCAAAAAAAAATTAAAAAGAAAAAGGAGAGAACAGAAAACACAGAAAATAAAAAAAAATAAGCTATCTAACCAAATTCAAGGTTCCAGAAATCTATATTAACTTTAAATAACTCGTTTTAGATTATTAGTATGAAGTTCATAATTGTAAAGTAAGTAATTGTAGTTCAATGTATGTCCAGGTGATCATGTAGCGTAAAAGTTCAAAATTCATTAAGTCATTATCCAATGTTGTCTGTATAATTGAGATCCATGTGGAATTTCAGCAATCACATTACATTTTTATGAGATAATTACAAGCTAAACAATTACCCCAGCAAAGTTTCACAAACCAACCTTTTTTATGTCAGAGGATAAAGAAGGAGCAAGCCAGAAATGTAAAAGAAATGAAAGCAAACCAAATATGCAGTATATATAAATACAGAAGTTGAAAGCAAAGAATAAAGCAAAGGACATATATATTATATTTTATTAGCCAAAAAAGCTACACCATATAAATTGATCCAGTACATCATAAACAAATATCTATCCTCTAAAAACTATTAAATAATACACATGCAACTTAAAAGAACATATATTTCTATTATTCACCAAAAAAGCAACCATTTTTTAATCTCCCCAGGGGAAAAAAAAAGGACAATAAATACACAGTAAAACCCCTCTATCAAATTTTATATACACATACACTACCAGACAATTCTGTATAAATACTGTATTTGAACAGTGTAGTCTCCAAAGCCAAGTTACTTTCCCACTGTAATTTCCAAAGCCAAATTTTCACCAACATACTCATTGAGGCTAAGTTAATCCTTAATTAATTTATAGGAGAAATCTACAAGAATATAATTTTCTGTTCACAATTTTATTAGCTAAGCTAAAACATAACAATGGGCTGCTCATTCACAATTTTCTATCATCAAACTCAACAATAATTAAACTAATTCGCAATAAAATGAGAAACAATAATTAAACACACCTCACACTACTCAACAACCAGATCCAGAGCTGCGACCAAAGAAGCTCCATCAAACCACTCCATGAAATTAACAGCTGCAAAAAAAAAAAAAAAAAAAAAAAAAAAAAAAAAAAAAAAAACACGATTAATGCAACACCCTTACAAAACACGATTAATGCAACACCCTTATTACAAAAAAAAAAAAAAAAAAAAAAAAAAAAAAAAACAAACAAACAAGACCCAGCTAACCAGGAACGAAAGAGAGAGAATGAGTTACGCTTCCCTCCTAAGCAAAAGGACAAAAATAGCCATGGCAATTACAGCAGCTCCATGAAACCTCGCCATCGAACTAACCGCTGCAACACTCGTTCAAAATGGAAATAATTAACAAGGAAACAACTAAAAAGGAAATAATCAAGAAGGAAATAATTAAGAAGGAAACACATAAACGAAATGGAAAAAGAAAGTAGAATTCAGGAAGGAACAATGGAAAAAGAAAGAAGACATAGCTAATCAGAAAGATGAATGCCACGCGTCAGCTTATTCAGAACAGCTGGATTGTCAAAGTGAAATGACCGAACCACCCCTGTCAATCAAGTCAATCAAAGAAGGGTGCTAAGGGCAGGGGAGGGCAAAACCGTCAATCTTCTGTTCATAAGGAATAGTAAAATTGCTACAGTAGGGGTGCTTGGGGCTTTTATAAGAGTTATAGATTGATCATAGAACATAGCGTTACTTATTTACTGTACATGTGCAAATAGTTGGAGCACATTAGAGCAAAGGTCAATTAGAAACAACTTCTCCACTAATGTGATCGGGAATGTTGTTTAATGAAGTTGAATGCGTAAATTTCAATTAAACGAACCCAAAACAAACAAAAAAAACCATGGAGCATTGCCCAAATCAGTTTTTTTTAAGCTTAGCATAAAGCTAGCTTAGCAAAAATGGCCTCCAGGACCCCAATATGTGCCAATTATTACCATGATTATATGGCTAAGAAGATCATTTGCAGAATCACAAACAGCTCTTAGAGCACTTACCATCAGATCACCTTAGCAGGTTATGGGCCTTTGTGGCGCATCCTTCGTCGCAACCTTACCTCCCATATCCTCCACCCTTCTTATTACGTTATACCCACCTCATCACCACATCTATTGCACCGTACACATCTAATATATTTACCTTACCTGTCCAAAAATAAACAATGTTCAGTAAAAATAATTCTAATTCAGTAATCAAATTTTGTACTGCAAAAAAAAGTGAAATGAACATAGTGGCCTTACATAATTTTTTAAGGGTAAAAATGACCCCAAAAACCTTACTCAAGCAATTTTCGTCACAAAAAATAACAACGAACAAGGAAATCGAGATATATCTCGACACGTAAAACGAGGTATTTTCGTTATTTTTTTGCGAATTCTGAGCTTAATTTGAATCCATTAAGGGTAAAAATGACCCCCAAAACCTTACTCGAGCAATTTTCGTCACAAAAAATAACAACGAACACGGAAATTGAGATATATCTCGACACGCAAAACGAGTAAACATTGAATAATCCATTCAATCCCACTTAATCATCGATTAATATATATATATATATATATATATATATATATATATATATATATTATTAGATCAATAATGAATTTTGAAACACGATAGAATAGATGAATTTCCTAGGGTTCAATGACAAATAATTAGCAGAAAAATATAGGGCAAATAAGAGCACACGCTCGAATGCAGATGCACACGCACACGCAAATAGTAATTAATTAACTCTTTAGAGTTCATGTGAATGGACTAACAAGATAATCAAGAAAGCTTATTTCAGTTTCTAACCGACTAAATTGTCACAACTAACAATTTATTTACCTCCAAAAAAAAACGGTTATAGATATTTACTAACCCAAAAATCAAGAAAATCAAGAAATCTCATTTCAGATTCCTCATTTCTTGATAACCGACTAAACTGCCACAACCTGTTGAAGAAACCCTTATATAAATCCTTTTTAGAATTCTTTTTTTACATCCATTCTCCTTTTGATCCAAAACTTCTATGTTACTTCAACAACACTAATAAAACACAAAATTGGTTTGATTTTACACAAAAATCATAAAACAACTTCTTCCACAAATTACAATATGATCAGACAAATTTTCAAGAATATTTTCTGACGAAACCCTATCAATGGTGCGGCAATAATGACTTCCCTTTATAAACATTTATCATCATATACCACCCCTAACCACAATACATCTGTCAAGTTTAACCTAAACCGCCTTGGAGAATCGAGAAAAAAGATTTAGATTGTATGTTCAAAACATGAGACGTGTACTCTGTTGGGTATGGCCCAAATTTTCTAAGCCCATCATTTTGGTGGAGTATTGTGCATATTCTATAGGCTTCCGGAACGATCAAGCAAGATCATTACTTGCTCATGATTTCTCTAGATTAATAACATACTTGAATGTTCTAGAGCATTAACATACATGGTTCGTGAATTTTTTAGAACATTATGGATACAAGAATGATTGAGGAATTTCTGGAATATTCCAGCTATTTCTTCCAAGCTCCATCTACACCTATAAATATATGTCATGGGCATTCAATCATTCAACACACACAACAAAACAAACACACAACACAACCCAAAGAGCCACACTCAAAATACATAAACCCCCCCTGTAATTCTCATATCATATCATGCCATATGTAACAAATTTTATTTTTCACTAATGCCACGTGTAAACTTTATTATCACCAATGCGACGTGTCACCTCATTTAACATTTCTTTTTTTTTTTATCCACTTTCTCAAAAAAAAAAAAAAAAAAAAAACTAGCTTTAATTCATTACATGTGAATGCTATTTGGTTCATTTTCCCCCAACTTATATTAACACCTTCTACCATTACATTTAACTATCACCCATTCTTATTCTTTATAAACTATTCATTTTTCAATAAAAATATATCATAAATTAAACTTTTATACGTAGTATTATATACCTATAAACAGCCTGTGCATTACACGGGCCAGAAGACTAGTTTATATTAATTATCTTGCCTCCTACCAAGAAAATTGAGAAATATATCTACACAACCCTAAATAAGGGTTAAGAAGAAGAGTTACTGGATCGTCATATAATATTTGATACATAATTGGGGGAACATATCCAAACTTGTTCAAAAAGTTGCTAGCAATGTAATAACAGAAGAACATTGTGATAAAAGAATTGGGATTGGAATACTCAAAAGTTTCTTTGGTGATCGCTTTACTTAATGCGAACAAAGAATGAATGAGAATGCATTGATTGTAAATAAAATTGGTATGTCTTAGTTTTTTTGTTAGCCCATATAGTTGTATATAGCTTATGGGTCGTAGTTATGTTCCGAACCCTAATGTTGTATATATGTACTTGTGTATACGCTAATACGAAACACAACTCTCTATTCTCTCTATTCATTATAGATTGACATGGTATGTCTTAATTTTTTTTTATTGCTACCAATCTAGTTGCTTAAATATATTAAAACAAGATATTTTTGATACGATAGAATTTTATTTTCCACTCTTTTAAGCGTCCATGCATTGTTTTGTTCACAAGATTAGTTTACTACTTGGCACATATTTCATTAACTCAAGCCTACTACGAACATTTATGACAACATATAATTATCATATATGGTTCCAAACGGCATTATATGACCCTCGAGATGTATCCCATTAAATATCAAGACTTTTATACGCCGAGCCCCGAAACCTCCAAAATTTCTCAAAAAACGTGAATATTAGCCTTCAATCAATTTTGGAATTTTTTGATTTTTTTTTTTGCCCAGAAATCAAAATTGCCGAAATGTTTACCATAGTCCCTAATACCCCCCGGGAGTCCAATTTAATGGGTGGAACCATCCTATTTGCCTTTAAACGACCAATTTACCGGTTTATAACTTGCACCGATTTCATTCATTCAAGCCTACCACGAACATTTATGACAACAAATGATGATCATATATGGTTCCAAACGACATCATATGACCCCGAGATGTATCCCATAGAATTATAAGACTTTGAATAATAGTCTTGAGTAGAATTTACTACGATCACAAGTTCATTTACTATTCATGTGGTCAAAATTGGATGAATTTGTTTCAATGCAAATAATTTTTGTAATTAGAACTTTCTATAATTTTTCATTAATATGTAGTTGAAGATATTACTCCCTCCGTTTTCTTATTTGCAATATTGATTGTGACCGTAAATGAATGTTTGACATCACCAATTTTGACTGATAATGTTTTTTTTTGAAGGGTTGACTTTTAATGTTAATACTAATTGTTAGTTACCAATTAATATCAATTATAAAATGTTAGATATTATGAAAATATACATTGTACTCCATAATTAATCTAAAATTACGTACCTTATGTAAGAATATAACAATTATTTTTCATAATTGTACATTTGTAAATGAATAAAGTGTTGCAGCTGAATAAACCAAAGAAATAATAGTTAGAGATTGCATTAAAATTGTGCAGAAGTCAAATGAATTAAACATATAGGAATGACCGAATGAACATGGTATGTAATGACATTTTATTTTTATTTTTTGACAAGGTATGTAGAGCAATAATTCAATGAATAAATAATGTTTTGTTTGTAAAAAAAAAAAAAAAAAAAAAAAAAAAAAAAAAAAAAAAAAAAAAAAAAGAGAAAATGGATACATGTTTTGTACTTATAATATTAATTGAAAATTAAGAAATCAAACAAAATAATTTCATTGAGGAAGTTTATTACACGATATAAAGCAAAAATAACTACAAATGTGGTCTATCACATAAATCTGTCTAAATCCACGTGAATGGTGTTGTACTGTTGTTCAATCTCGAATTAAAACATTATTACACCAATAATCTCCATTATTGGGAAATAATAAATCATCTTATATTGGCAAATAAATTAAATAAATAGCTTACTACTCCAAATTCCATTATTAGAAAAATTATAAATCAACCTTATTCCATAATACTAAAAGATGAGAGTATTTCAATGAAGAGGTTGAAACTGTGATCATCTCCCACCATACTAACTCTTACATATCTTCTACAGACAGACGCTAACGCCGAACTTAGAGCCATTTCTTGCTTGGATCTTCATTTTCCTCGTAAGTTGTTCAACATCTTCACTCGTTTTACACTCCAACCACGCAAATGCTACCATAAATTAGATCATCTTGTAAATTTATGATCGGTATATAAATCAACATAAAAAAAAAAATATCCTTGGTACATCGGAGTAAAAAGAGTATTGATAAACCTCTCCCACCAATGCTAGTATGATTGGGGAGGTGTATCAACAATTTAAAATGCTATTTTGTTAGATTTGCCGATGATATCAACCAAATGAGTTAAGTAAGCAATTAAATCATCCAAATGAGTTAAGGTCCTTTATGTTTTGCTTAGGTCTTCTGCAGGTCCCTCATGTTTGATTTTTTACATCCTAATCACCAAACGTTTCCCTCAAGTTCGTCCTAGTTAAAAATCAGACCACCCTTATTGATTGTT